CTGTTTGTGACACACACATTTTGCATGGATAATTCAAATAGGGACGTTATCTTACTCTGCCACCATCTGTACGCGCCAAAGCAAATAGTGGGGGGAAAAATGTGTTTCAGCTCACAACGATATGAATCACAGTCCAGAGAGGCTTTATGAAAACTTAATAGCAGGCTCAGAGAGGCGAGGACGAAACGGAAAGGAACAGAGATAAAGGAGCTGTGACCATCCACTCTATCTAGCCGGCCTCTTGCTTCCACCGGTGGCAAGGAAATACAGTTTAATCGTACTAGACTCCATGCTCATACAGACACTATAAAGAAGTCAGACACATACACTGAACAAAGCTCTCACATAAGCTGTAAATAAAACGTCTGTAGCATCTGGATAGCTGGCGAAATTTAAACCCTCCAGCCCGTGCCAAGAACAGATTTCATGTTAGTTACCAGGTTTTGATGCATCACCTCTGGAACAGGCAAGACAGGACAGGATTATACAGTAGCAGTAACTCACACACCCATGTCTGACAGAGTACAATGTTTTATTACCATGCAATTTGCCTCAGTGGCAGTAATGACTCTTAATTACAGTTGTACGGTGCATTAATATCAAAACGGTGGGCCAAGACCTTGTGTGTGCGCGGGGGTGTAGAGCTGCCCTCCGACATGCTCTGAATAATCTCCTGAAATTCTGAAAAGCCCAGAAAATGCCTGGACCCGACTGTGCGGACATTATCCGGAGTTCGTGTTTGAAAACAGCTTAAGCGTGTATGTCGACACACAAGCACACGTAGAACCTTAAGGTTGGAGCGGCAGGATGTTGATATGACATCCAGCATCTCTACGCTCATGCATATTCCAATGTTAGTGCTTCTATACAGCAAATATTAATAGTGCTGTGGAAAAGAAACAGCTGAAATCCTCTGTAACGTGTGGGAGATGACGTGATGCCTGCCAAGGGATAATGTCGTGCCTTCAGGGTGAGGCGCTCTGCCTATCTGCTAAAACTTTCTTGGAAGCACTTTGGTTGAACCCGATTTTCTTCTCTGAAGCCTTCACTACAGAGTTAGTATATTCTCTAGCTATGTCATCAAACGAGTAGAGGAAAAGTGGGCCGGGTGATGCAAGATATGACACACGTACATTCACACCAAGTTCATGAGTATGTCGGCCTGTTATATTCCCCCTCTGATGAAGGTGAAACTTTCAGATCTCTCCTGTGTCTGTACCAGGGGTCACCAAATTGACAGCCCTGAATCCCACATAGGCACAAATCAAGTGATCGGCTGCGACAGCACGGACGACTTTATCTTCTCTGTCTTTCAGCTCATTCCTTCTTTTCTCTCATCTTGTCAGAGGCCACCAGAGCTGAACTTCCACCCAAAGGCTATAATCTGTACCCACCACTATACCTACTAATCTATAAATCACAGAATGTGCAGCTGCGTCTGTGGGTGTGTCTGCGTGTGAGAAGACGGATCCATGAAATAGTGTCTGTGTCTCTGTGTGAGGTCGCGGTCATCAGCGCTGCCGGTGCAGTTACAGACAGACATTTTCCGGGTCAATGTTCAGCTCTGAGCTCATTACCCTTGTTCAGTATGATAATGTGAGTGTGCGTGTGACCGTCTGCCCTTTCCTGATAAACCACCATGACCCATGAAGAGGTCTCCTGCATCAATCACCTACTGTCCACGGAGCCGCATTAACCACCAGCTCCACTCTGGAGCACCTCCCTCCTCTCGGCTTTTCAATGACATTCACACTATGTCTGGACAGGTTCCCGGATCTGACCGATTGAAACACATCCACACCGGGTCAGCGTCAGGTCAACGCCTCAAACAACCCACTCATTGAGACAAACGGGTTTGCTTGTTTCCCGAAGTACAAACAAATCGTTAGACAGACAGGGCTCCCTGCCAACGCTCGCCGTTCTCTGGGACTGACCGGCTTTTTCTGACAACCAGCCAGCCCTACTGTCTGGAACAGTTAGGCCTCAGAGGGAAGAGGCAACTGAGGCGATTCAATCAATACCGACTCATTATCTGTTGCCTTCTGTCCCACAGAGATGAGTCTCACCGCTCGGCCTGTTGATGAAGAAACGCACCACAATTCAATTAGGGGATGGCCGAGATGCCAAGAGAGGTTTGATCAAAGCACTCTGCCTGGCTAATTAGCACACACAGCGGTTCAGAGGGGCTATTTTTACATCTGAGGAGCAGAGTAGGTTGTTTTGTTAATGGTAGTTTTACCCCTGTAATGGACTGGGAATAAGCCGGCTCATTTTCAATGCATAGGTTTCAGCCAGGGGAGAGTGGAGGGGCCCCTTGGCCATGCTGCTCCACACAGACACACACACGCACGCACAAGTATATTCATGTGGACACATATACATGTATATGTATATAACCCCTCTTTTGCAGGTTTGACCCATCAGAAGTGTGCAGGTGTGTGTGGGACCCACAGTGATTGGAGCAGCAAAAACAGCTACCACCCCCCATACTACTACTCTGATTGCCAGACGTTTTTTCTGCAGTTATATATTGTTTGTATTTGTTATTGCCTGATTGATACTGGATGGAATATCAACACTGGTTGCATATTATTATTGGCATTAACATGGTCAGAAAGGTTGATATATGGACAGGCACCTTATGACGCCCCGGGGGGTCCTTGGGGCGTGGTCGGGCTATTAACTAGAAGACTGTCCCAGAGTTAGCTCACATGTAGCAACAGGCTGATGGTCATGAAAACGTTTCTGTGTTACAGGTAAGCTAAAATAGTGTAGCTGGTGCATATTGATGGAGTACAGTAAATTGTATGTGCATTGCATGTATGTCATGATGCAATGAAATAGTATGAACGTTACATTAGACGAGTGGGTGTGTTGCCATACTTAATCTGTCCATRATTGCCTATGATTAACGATGTCASTACCRTGKTATATGCTAAACCATCATATAGGATGAATGTGTCTTATTCTGAGTGTGTCAATATCTATTGATGTAGTATAATTATTGCCATGTACTTCATGTGAGTTAAAGCGGAACCGGGAATGTTGGATAGATACACTATTAACTAGAAGACTGTCCCACAGTTAGCTCACATGTAGCAACAGGCTGATGGTCATGAAAACGTTTCTGTGTTACAGAATAAAACCTGTACCCCCGTGATAACTCATGCACGCCTGGAGGTGTATTTTGTCTCCGCGTGTGCAACATGTGTATATGTGTGAGTGTATGTGTGTGTGTGTGTGTATGTGTGTGTGTATGTGTGTTTCCGCAGACAGGAAGTGTCAGGTCATCCAGAAATAGTGCCTGGGGAAAATAAAGCTGTTTCCAGGAGTCTTCAGGGACTTTTTAGGAAGCCCACTGACAGCTTTATAAACCTCTTTACAAATAGTCGACCCTCTTCTCTCTAATGAGGCAGAAAAAAAAAGTCTGGAACTGAAAAACAGGTGTGTCCCTCAAGGTGGGTCCAGACCCCTCCGTTTGTGTGTCTTTGTCATTAGAGAACAAATCAATTTCAATAAGGAAGTAACATCACATTGTTCTAAAGCATACTAACCTCTGAGTTTCCTCTCTGATACATTTACAAAGCTGAAACTTGACAGACGCACACAAGTATTGCACAGCAATACACACCAGCTCTCTTTTAATTTTGAAGTTGAAGAGAGGAAGTATCCGCAGGAAACTCAGGCCGGAGGCAGCAAAACTTCACTGGAATGAACTAAAGAAGAAAGAACTGCCAAGAAAGACTCTTTTTAATCCCTTTTCTCTGAAAAACCTCAGGCAGAAAGACTCAAATCTAGATCAACGGCATCTTATATTTCTAAGAGCATTAAACTTGAAATTGTATGTAACCGCAGCAAGAAACCAACGCTGGCTCGCCCGGAGAACATAACATTATGAAATGAGAGGTGTTTTTACTTTTCGAGACAGTCGTGGCTGATACCAGCTGCCATCACACGTTGTCCCGTTCAATTTGTTTTTGGATTCCCCCATGCATGTAACAATACATCAAAACTTCCCCATGTGACTCTTTGTGTGAAGGGGGAGAGATTTTACTGCTCCCTTAGCTGTTAAAAGTGGCATTTACTCGGGGGCTTATGGTGCGAGCAGGCTCAGTTTTAATACCATCATAAATAACAGCGTCACACTCTGTCAAGTGAACTCCACTCTGGGATGGTGACAAAGGCAAAGCTGGCCCGGGAGTCGATGGGAAGCATCATCTGAAGCTGCACGGTCACCATCAGTGAAAATGTCACAGTCCACACTTCACTGATCAGAAATTGAAACGCTCCAACGAGCTATAATTCAATGCATCCACTGCTTTTAATCTGGATAAACACTTTTCATAGATACAGCTGAGAAACAACACCTCAAACATTAAGATCAGAGCCGGATGTCTTAAAGACGCTTTCCAACATGAATCTGGATGTTAATCTAGAATGCAGACAAAAGCCAGTGTCTGTTTTCTAGATTAACATCCAGAAGATGCCTCAGTCAGAACCATATGATGCTGTCTTCAGGTGATTTATCTGGATCTGAGCCTACATTAAGTCATTCACAAGAGAAAATCCATATATCTGCTGATGAATCTCATCACAGATCACCACACAGCATATTCAGGCTCTAACTTGCAGCTGTGAGAGCTGAGCTGACTTCACGACCATATGTTTTCTGTCACAACAACCAATCTCCTCACGGATCAGACAGGGAAATAAAACAACATTTGCTGTAATGGAACAACTTGTTGTGATTTCTGCTCAAACACGAGAGCAGCAAATATCAGAGCGAATGAACTGTGGCAGAAAATATGAAAACATGGATGTGAGCATCTGTTAGTTATAGTAGTTAATGAGTGTTTCTGTGAAACGTGAGTCTTAAACACTCCAGGAGAACATGACACAGCTTCTGGTGCCCAATTAACATTCCTATTATATTGTTAAAGCATCATTCTAATTCATATCATGTCCACATTAATGTTTTGATATAACTTGAGTCAACTCACCAACTGTAAAGTGCAGATAAAGATGAGGGTGCATCGCCCGCTGCAGCAGCCCATTGTGTTGTGTCAGCGGTGAAAACGTGAGTCTGAGTCGGGAGACAAGGAACCTGGAAGCGGGTCGGAGGAGCTCTCAAATGCGCCGAGCGGACTCCAGGCACCGGTGTCCCATTCTCCTCCCCCTGGTCCTCCTCTCTTCTCTTTGCCCAAACAACAAACCCCGGGTAGGGAAGGATCTCTGTGCCGCTGTGGTCCGGGCTCTTGTCTGTGAAGTGCCTGCTGCTCCTGCTCCTGCTGCTCCTGCCGGCCGGTCGCACATGAGGTGACTGACTGGGTGGAGGGTTGGTGTGTGGAGTAGTAGGAGGGGGGGGAGGTGACTGTGGTGGTGGTGGTCTGGGATGGGGCTGATCTGACCCGAGGGCGTCAACTAGTTCCTGAAAGCTGTCTGTGGAGAGGCAGAGCAGAAGGAGCCACTTAATTCAAAACTGTTTAAACAGAGACGGTCAATTTATTGTCATGGTGACCAATGACTCTAATCAGCCAATCGAAATCCTGCACATATACGTTACAGCGGTGAAGCTGACGTTGAACAGCTGCACCGCAGTGTTGTCAGATGTTATAGATCCATATTGGTGTTTGTTTATGTTACGTCCCATTTTGAATTGAAATGATTTTCATGTGATTGTGTTGAGGAGTTAAATTAGCTGCCACTCATGAGCAACTGGCGCCATCTGGTGGTCGTGTGAGGCACACACTGACAAGCGCCATAAAAAAAGCTCTGCACATTTTTAGTCCACAGGGTAATTATTCAAAATGGAAGCCAAAGCATCAGACATGTGACACATAAAGCTTTTACAGCTTCTACATTCATCATACAATTTAAATAAAAAAAAAAAAAGTTCAATTCAAACAATTTAATTGGATTTGATGGCTCTACTTTCCCTTCCAGTGGTACTTCATGTAACATACAGACAAGTAGACACATTATTCTAATATATAAACATGCATGCATATAAAAACACAAGTTATAACTGGAATTAAAGGTAAGGTCTTTGAACAGATGAGTATGTGTACTATATTGCACTTAAAAATACTGCACATGCAGTTGAATATCATTTCACTTGATAAATAATAATAATAATAGTATTTTCATTGCTATTTTATGTAATTGTAATGTAATGTATTTTATGTTTTAAGTTTATTTACACAGAACTTTCACTCTCACTCTGTCCCTCCTCTTCTGCACAGGCCTTTAGATTTCCTTCTGTAGCCGCTGCTTAGTGTGATATATATAATAGAAAAGATCTTAAAAGCTGCTCTCACAGTCGCCCTCCTCCTCCTCCTCCTCCTCCTCCTCCTTCTCCTTCTCCTCCTCTCTCTGAGTGTGTGTGGAGGGGCCAACCTCTCTCCTCAGCAGCTTGATAAATGTTTTACACATCTGCGGCCTAACTGAGGGAACACTTCACATCTCATTTTGTCACACACGCTCCTCTGCTCTGCCTGTTTTAAGAAGCCTGTCCACCCTTCTCCTCTCCTCTCCTCTCCTCTCCTCTCCTCTCCCCCTTGTCCCACGCCGCCCTGCCCACCTGCATCCAGCTGGGACCCAGGAGAAGCCCCTCCTTTCTTGCCAAAAATAACCTCAGGGTATTAATGGAAACAAGCTGTTTTTTCTATTTGAAAGAAAAAAGCATTTCTTTCATCATGAAGACTCAAAAAAAAGAATTTGCATTGTGATCACTTTGAAGCCTGAGCATCACTCCAGGAGCCCTGCAGACTTGCATCAGTCTATAGTTACTTCTATTAATGATTAATAGTTTGTGTCACTTTTATACATTTATTAATGTAACAAGTTTCTCAGACAGGCACATACCTCAATGTGTTATGTAATATAACATAGGGATACTCCATGTTGGAGTACACACAGGCCTATAGCCCATTTACCTTTTCAAGACTTTAAATGATTTGATGCAAAGCTGAAGTGTAGTCATTTTTATGCCAGTATCATATCTGGGTTCTGTTTTTTGGAGGGCACATACATTTTGACTCAAGATCCACTTATTAGCTTTTATGGGACATTTTTTCAACCATATCTTTATCAAGTGATGCTCAAGACGACAAAAAGTCCTTAGAGTGCAACACTGATGAAGAAAAATCTAATTTAGGATTTAATGGATGCAAAATCCATTGATTCTGTTTGTTCCATCAAACACATTAAACAACAAATCCAGGAGAATCCATTTGCCTAAATCATGGAATGTGGGTTGAGGGTGTGTGTGTGTGTGTGTGTGTGTGTGTGTGTGTGTGTGTGTGTGTGTGTGTGTGTGTGTGTGTTGAATTACCCAGTTGGTCTCTAACAGCTGTTCCATCTTACTGTTACATGTGAAGTCAGTCAGTGTAAGAGCTTCTAGTAGAATACATTAGTGACTGTCCTGCACTTCCTGAGCACATGAAGCTCACTCATTCACAAACCCATTTCTTATGAGGACATGCTTTTTGAACGTGTGCCATAAAAATGTCGGTGTGTGCATATCTGGGGTGGTGGGTGGCAGAGAGTGATGCTGGGAGAGTATAGAGCTGAGGCTGAAATAAGGTCACTGTTATAGTTCTATTAGAAGCCCTGATGGAGGTTCTCCTTGCGTTCCCATTTTGCCCAAACGCCCCCTTATCGACTCACTCAGTTTGTGTGTGTGTGTCCAGAAGACTTCTTTCATGACAAGTGTGTCCAGGCCCTCGGGTGCTGCTGTTCTTCTTGGAGACACTAACATGAAGTGACAGGAGAGCCAGCAGTGTTCTGCTCTGAGGGGACCTGCATTGTGGAGGAGACCCAAGAGTCTGGCTCGTCGAGGACAACAATAGAAAAAAGGACGAGGCTTTTCTCCCTTTCAGAGCACCCGAGGCTGTCGCTTCTGGTTCTCCGCTCTTTCTTTCTTTTATCCTTCTTTCTCAGTTTCTCTTCTCACACATTTTAGAGCCCAAACACACAACAGGAAATTCCTGATGCTTTTTTCACTAATAACAACCAGGTCAACATGTCTGAGGCCGGCAGAAACCTGAGAGCAAAACAGAATTCGTATCTTATCCCCACATCAGCCTGAATGACTTGATTTCCCCCAAATGATTGTGGAGCTTTTTATTCAAACTGAAATTCTGTGTCACCTGGGAACTGTTGTTGAACAGGACGTTGTTTTTTTGCATTGGTGCAACTAACACACACTGAGGCAAATAATACTCCCTAACATGACATCATCAGCAGAACGAGCTGCTTCCTCCATCTCTGCTGTTCATTTATCAACACTAACACAGAGCTGCAAATTACATCTTCCACTGCTGTCCGACCAGCATATGAAGGCTTTCTTTATTTAGATCCATGCTCATAAAAGATTAAGATTACCCATGTGCCCTTGGAGGCAGAGTCTCATTTGTTTTGTTTTTTTCTATTCTTCATTATCTTTTCTGTGCCATGAAGAGAGTTCCAGACTCGATGAAGAATAAACACAGAGGCTATTATGAGGAGCATGTCAATAATTTAATGTGGGATGAAGCTCTGGTGAAGAGATACTGGTTCCCATTATCATTTTTTTCAGCAATTGGTGTTATTCTAACGCTCGCCACCTGGAGGCGCTCCTCTGTGAAAGGGTTTTAATTGAATGGACGCCTTCACAGCTGTGTCAAGCTAGACACAAGCTGGGAATTAGCCGGAAATCAGGTAGGTTTTCTTCAAAATAAAAGCATTCTTGTTGGACTCATACAACAGTTTGACAGTGAATCTGTGTTTTGTGAAAAAGATTTTCCTATTTCATACAGTTAAGCTAGAAATATCAGTAGAACACTCACCAAAGAGGGCTCATCTAAACCTCTGGTGTTTGCTGTACAAACTGGACCTGTATTTCCAGCTGCTGTTTCATGCTGGATGGGTGGTGGTGACGTTGGCAAACGATTGGCGAGACCATAGCCTAAAACAGCAGAAAACATGGTATAATTATGTGATTAAATACATACACATGTATGTCATTATAGCCTATAATTCTAAATATAGTGCAGTATATCAGAATCAGAACAAATTCTTTTTCATTTTGAGATTGTGATTTCATCCTTTTTGCCATTGCTGAAAAAAAGTGAAAGCTTTATATAGAATATTGCTGAAATTAATACAAATAAAGCAGCATTATTTTGCGATTTGAAGCTCCAACTTTCATGACCAGTTTTTCCTGTTTCACTATTTAGCTGTAACTTGCTGTTATTACCTCGACCAAGTGGTTATGTTTTCATCTGTGTTTATTTGATTGTAAGCAGCATTGAACAAAAACTCCAACACAGATTATAGCAAAGTTAAATGTGGTTTCATAAGGGAACGGTTTGGCCTTGGTGGAGAAATGTGCTCCGCTGAGTACCATTCTAGTTTTTTTTTAAATTTTATTTTCTCAGACTGGAGCAAACATTCAAAGACAATTATGTCATTCATTTGTTAAAGGGATAGTTCACCCAAGAATGAAAATTCACTTATTATCCACTCACCACTATGTCGATGGAGGGGCGGGTGAAGTGTTTGAGTTCACAAAACACTTTTGAAGTTTCAGGGCTAAACAGCATTGCAGACAAGTCCAATGTCGACCACTTCTTCAAACGTAAAAAACAACTGATAAAAAACAGAAAATGGCTCCATACTGCTCCTGTGGTGTCATCCAAGTGTCCGTCAGCCCTGACGTTCAAATTCAACTTGAAACAAGATCATTTACACCGTGTTTCTCTGCCTGAATGTCTGATCCACAGGAGAACGCGGCTCCAGAGGATAACAGAGGACATTATACCACCCGTACCTGAATGTATCAGCAAGATAACAACATTTACAACATCGATCATAAGAAACAGTTTGTAACACAGTGGGAACGTCTGTCAATATTATTTAGTTAGTATTTGTACATAACGTGACTTCACCAAACACACAGACCCTCATGTCATTCATTTGTTAAGACGCGTGTTATTCTGAAAGTCAGTACAGGAAACTCATCACTATCAGTGCATTGACGGTGGTGTGAGTCACATGGTGCTGTCTGACGGAGGGAGCTGATGGAGCCAGATGAGAGAGGCAGGAGGCGAGCCCCTCCGGTCGCGCGTCAGCATCCCCTCAAATAGAAATCTGCTGCTGTCACTTGTGCTCCACATTCTGAGAGGAGAACCACCGAAGCCCCCAGAAACTACAACTCAAGACCAACTCCGCCTGGCAAGCAGCAGATTTTGGTTTTTTTTTGTATTTTGCATGTGATGCCAAAGAAGAAGAGTAAGGGGCGGCTGTGAGGAGGCTGGAGCTCTCCAAAGAATGATAGTGAGGACCAGGGCGCGCTGTCCCAGGAGAACTCATCCGAAGAGCTGGCACCGAGACACCGGGATGCTCCTGTGACGCACCGGCGGGGGGGGTGGACCGGTGAGTACAGAAAGATCTGTCCCTGACATCGCGCTTCCACTTTTGGTGACATGTGTGTTTCCATTGGACAGTCTCTGCTTATCGCCTCTGAATCGACCCCCACCTGTCTGGTCCATCATGCACGAGCTTCTCAGCAACACAGATCGGCCAGAAATGTGTGAAAGTTGCGATGTTAATTTGGAATTTGTTTTCACCTCCCACCTCCACCCCGCGCACACCCGCAACTTAACACACGCATCAAATGCCGTGCAGTGCGCTTACGCGGTGGGTGGCGCCTGGGTGGTCCATGGTGCATGTTCCCTTTACAAGTTTGTGATTAGAGGAACATGTGTTGCACGCTGCGGTCACCACCAGGCTAATTATTAAAGGTTTTATATTGGAGGGGAGGTTTCTCCTATCACAGCCTCTCATCACTAATCCGCTGATGGGCCGGAGGGCGTGGGTTTGCTGTGCGTGATGATAAGAAGGATGGCACCAGCTCCACTCACACAGCAGGGTTGGTTAATTATGATCTCACTACTGATGAACTCACTGAGGTGCCAAAGAGGAGGCATAGGAACAGAAATCTTGCCTTTTAATATCAATTAACTGTTGATTTTCCTAATTGATCCATGACAGTGAGGATGATTTCAACCAAAGTATAAAGACACAACAGTGGCGTCGATTAAAACTGTTTACCTTGAAACAACTGTGATTGCCAGGTGAGTCAATAATCCTCTCCACAAATATCTCATGCAGTCTGGGATGGGTTTTTCCTCCTCACCTGTAATAAGCTGCTTCCTGTGAGCTGCTTCCTGTGCTGCTGGATGTGTGGGTGTGGGTGTGAGGAGAACTTCCACAGCAGCCTCAGTGCATGTAGATGAATGAAATCCACTTACTATGCACCAAGGGTTCCCATCTCCAGTGTGCATGCGTGTGTGTGTGTATGTGTGTGTGTATTTCACCTCATTACACTCATTGTGTTGACTTAAGCAGGAGGGTCACCCCTGAGGCCCGTTCTCCTGCCTTATTGAGGAGTGATGCCCTGAATTACACCACCCTCCCGCTGATTGCAGAAGCACACGAGCACACTGGGAGAGGTCTTTCAGCTTACGTGTGAAGTTCACGACTGTTATTTCAACAGAAGCATCATGTGTGGATGTGACATGTATTCCTCGGTGCAGAGATACCATGTCAGTGCATTACACAATCACCAGGTATAGGAGGCAGCGCCCCCCCCCAACAACCAGCGCCCCCCCCAACAACCGCTCACTACACGTGATTCCTGCTGGTGCTTAACTCTCAGATGTCGTATGTATTTCGAATTTGCGATGGAGCGCCACAGCTCTGGTTCGAATCCCGGCAATTAAAGCTCCTAGTCTGCCTACGCACACTTTGTACAGGAGCTCCTCTATTCTTGTGTTGCCCCCCCCCCCCCTCTCCTTTACAGCCTGTGTGCTGCATTTCTCCCGAAGGCGTTCTCAAAATTCTCCCTGTGTATGTATTAAACATCAAGCATGTCGAACTGCAGGCGCCGGGGCCGAGCACTTAAAGGCAGAGTCAGCCTTCTGTGGAGGGTGACAGAACAGTCAGATGGCCCCCACAGGGCAGAGAACAATTCCTGCTGCTGATGCACCCAAGGCGACAGGACTGGAGCACTCCCCTCTCCTCCACCCGCTCTGCCTCCCCTCTCCTTCACCCGCCATTCCATCATCCCTCCCCACCTTCATCTCATACAAATAACCAGGCTCTCTCGGGTTGACACACCTGCACCGCAGCTTCTTCCACTCTCCCCTCCAACATGTGCACTCGCACACACATGAAACATGTATTACGCTCTTTCATAAACACACATGTCGACATTTGCCTCAGGAGTCATATTACGATCATAACTGCTGTTGCACACACCCTCTTATATCCACAGTCATGATTTCTTGTGCGCACTGTCATAATCGAGGTACACCGCTATTCTCTCAAGCACACATACACCCAGTGGTCACTGTAAAACCTGTTTCAACTGTTCTGCTATAGAGTCGACTTTGATGATGCCTGTAATGCTCAGTTTTTATAGGGCGATTTATTGAATTCCCATGTTTTACCTCTGATGTCATAGTCAGAGATGGTGTTGTACTGGACCTCAGGTCTTTGTAATATTATGTAAGAAAATAAGGACAACAAAATTAGGAACACCTCTCAATATGAAGTAGTCCAGGACATCACAACCTCTAACTATGACCTTGGTGACATGTATAATTGCAGTGGACTGTAGAGTTGTAGGGGCAGCACGGTGATGCAGTGGTTATCCTGATAGCAAAAAGGCTCTGGGTTTGAACCTGACCAGGGCTAGTGTGTCAGCATGGGTTTTCTCTGGGTGCTCCACCTTCTTCCCACAGTCCAATCACTTTTACCCTCAAAGGATTTGTGGTATAAATAATGGATTGATGGATGTAGAGATGTACCCATAAAGCTAATAACGTACCAAATAAAGTGTCTTCTGAGCGTAACTAGCAGATACACAGCATTAATCTCGCTTACACATAAAACTATACTCTTATTTAAGCTACTGCATCCAGATGACTTCAGTTCAGGTTTGTTTTGAGGTCAGTGACACAAACATACAGGTACAGTCATGTAATTGAAGTGAATGTGTGTGTGGGGATAACAGTGGCTGCTTTGTGAGACCTGATGTACCATAATACTGAAATGCCAGATACATTTTTTTGTGCATGAGATTGAGAATAGTAATGTGTGCAAAGCTGAATGATAGTGGACTGTATCCAAGAGAAAATTACAGTACGTGTTACTTAGAATAGCCGTGTGTGCAAGAGAGGGAGTTTGATTGAAGTGTAAATAGCATTGAACCTTCGATTCATTGCCTGCAGCTCTTACAACAGTGAAGAGGAGAAAATAAATAATCTGAGAAATCATGCTGCTTCTGACCTTCCAACAAAACCTGACACATTTTTAGTCTTAATTTAAATATAAATATTCATGTCACTGTGTAGGTGCAGGCTTCATTTATGTCTGTGAGCCAATCAGAAACAGAGAATTTAAAATGAAAGTGAAACCCTTTCAAATAAACCATGTCTTAAGCATTGATATGTCCCAGCATGTGCACAGTCACCCACAATAATTCCCTCTTTGACGTGGGTTACCATATTCACACACACTTATATTATCTATCACACATACACCATCCGCACACACTTTAATATCTATCAGACATGTTTTTAATCTCAATCAGACACACACACCCAGACTAATACAAACTACCATTATATCTCATATACACAAAGTGTAAGATGGCGCGTCTGTGATGTTGTTTTTAAGAGACAACAGTGAGTCATAGTAACTGAGGGTTTTGAAAACGTCAGTTGTCGTTCGTTCGTGAAAGGTGCAATGAGTCTCACAGATCAAACACCAAATGGTCCATGAATCTCCAAATATGTGTTTGTGCACAACATGCATACGTGCATGTCAGCTGTGTGCTCAGGGACCGGGGGACGTAGATTGGCCAGCCAGCCAGACAGATGTGCCCTAGCCCGGACCCAGAGCGCGGGGGCCTGAAACCAGCCTGCCACCCAGCATTAGTGCCATGGATCTATGACCAAAGGGCTCAGGGCACCGAAACTGACTGTCTGCATAAAATGCTCTCAATTATTAATGCTGTGTACAGGGCAATAAGAAGCGGTGCTGCGGCCATTGAAGAAAACAAGGAACTTGGCACGGAAAAGAGAAAGAAGCAAAGGAAGAGGCAGTAAGGGTATGACGAGCAAGGAGAAGTGGAATATATGAAGTGTTGGAATAGTTTTTTACTTTTAGGTGTAATTCTATAGTCAACTTACAATGACAGTGAGTACACATAATACCACACATAAACAAAAAAAGATCTCCATAGCAACTGGAGATAAAAAAGAGTGATGGTGATGCACTTTGGTGATAAAAAGAAAAAGGACCAGTTAGACCTTCATCTTTTTTCATATACTTCACGTGTCCTGACTTTTCAGTCCACGCATTCATACATACAGTCACACAGGATCCTCCTCATTCATCGTTGAGTGCGCAGGTAGTTTAGTTTCCGTCATGTCAGTGTGCACTAAATACATCTCAGACTGCGCACACAGCATTGCAGTAGGTTGCCATTAGAGCAGGAGCACTGTAATTCATAAGTATTGATTGATGTCCGAGCAGCATTACACCTTAATGCCCCCGAACACGACTATACACAAGAGTAAACACTATAAATACAGCCGCAGAGGAAAAAAGCAGCTATTTACAAACATGTGCTGTTAACTCCACATTATGTCCGATGTGATACAATCATAGTACAAGAATATTAAATAATCTGCTTGTTCTGAACATTGCAGCAACATTATTACATGTAGATAATGAACTCCATCCTCCGCTCCCCTTCTCTGAAGGTTGTGCTGCTTGCTGCTTTATTATTGAAATCTACATCCAGTTTTATTCATTATTATCAGACCCACGGGTGCTCAGCACTGGATTTGATGTGGGGAACAGGAGCCCACTGTAATCGAATGTTACATTGAGCATCCACCGACATGTGCGTCCTAATCGGTTGGTTTAGAAAGTCTGAGTATCAGTTACAGCTGAGTTTAACTGAGGAAATATATATTCCCTCAGCTCTCATCTTATATTTAGTATTTATCACTGTGTCCTTTGATTTATTGGGTTTTCTGTAAAGACTGTTATCGTCGTACATGGTGTTCTCAGTTATCATTAATCATGGTCACTGCCACCTACATGCCCCTTTTCTTTTTAACTTTCAAGCAAGTTAGGAATGCACTGTAGTTTGTTCACTTATTACTCTGCCTAAATCTCTTTTTACATATTCAAAAGATTTGTCATTAAAAACTTCCCCTCATGGCCTTCAAATGCCTTAAATGTAAATCTACATCTTCCGTCCTACCTTCGTGACTGGGAGAAATATGCCCAAACGTGCCCCACCTCCATCTCCCATCACCCCTGATGGCTAACAGGGAGTTAGTCAGCCCCACCCA